AGTGATGAGAGAGAATCATTTATTGGCTGCCTCCTGCATGGCCTCCACGGAGGACTAAGACTCCAAACCAAACATGTGCCCTGACCAGGAATTGAACTGTGTCCTCCTGGTTCATAGGTCAACACTCAAACACTGAGCTACACGGGCTGGGCTGATCCTTCTTAAGAGAGATCTAGCAACTATGACCATATATTTGGGGTGTCCTGGGGAATGAAACTTATTTGCACACTGGTCACCATTTTCTAAACAACCTTTATACTTTTAGTAACAACTAGAGGCCTGGTGCATGAAATTCGTGAACTGGGGGGGCGGGCGGTGTCCCTTAGCCTAGTCTGCACCCTTTCCAATCTGGGACCCCTCAGGGGATGTCTGACTGCCAGCAGTTGGACATCCCTGTCACAACCCGGGACTGTTGGCTCCCAACTGTTGGCTGGCTGCCTGCCTGATTGCTCCTAACCGCTTCTGCCTGCCTGCCTGAATCACCTCCTTACCACTACCTGGCTGGCCCTATCGCCCCAAACTGCCCTCCCCTGCCGGCCCGGTCGTCCCCAACTGCCCTCCCATGCTGGCCTGGATGCCCTACACTGCTCTCCCCTGCCGGCCTGGTTTCAAAGATGGAAGACTTATTCTTTACTTTTATAATTTTAAAAACCTCCCCTACTGGCCTGATCATCCACAACTGCCCTCCTTTGCCGGCCATCTTGTGGTGGTGGGCACCACCATCTTTGAGGGTGTGGCAGTCAATTAGCATATTCCCTCCTTATTGTCTGTGGGTGCCACTATCTTTGAGGGCAGGACAGTCAATTAGCATATTCCATCCAAATTGGCCACAGACACCACCATCGTTGTGATGGTGTGAGGGTCAATTAGCATATCCCCACTTTATTAGATAGGATAACACTATAAATTGCCTCTTTTCCCATTTCTATTTTTCCAGTTTCTGTTTATCTTTCCTTGACTGTCTTAAAAGGTTGGTGTGGCTGGCTAATGTGACATAGGGTACTTACTAGTAAATTATAGTTATCAGTTCAAGGCCAAGTATTTCAAGAAGACTTTCCTGATCCACTTGTAAAGAAAAAGCATTCAATAAAAAAATTCAGAGGACGATTACATGAGAAATTTAATGCTAATGTCTGGAACGGTGGCAAGGCATAATTTTCAGACTAATGAGAAAAACTAGAGGAGCCAGATTAAAAACAACCTATTTGAAGAGATTGGGGAATCACTGAAGCATTTTGGGGCTGAGTCTTGGAGAAGACTAGATACTTTCCAAGCCTGGCAGGGCAGCAGTGAGTCTGGAAGTTACTCCAGACTGATCAGGACAGAGGCTCTCATCCCTGCCCCAGACTGCTTCCCGACATGGCCAGGGTTTCCCCAGGAAGGCTTTCTCCAGGTTCATCCACCTCAGGAGTGTCCTGCAGTGCCCTCTGGAGAACCAGCCTCAGGGTGTGTCTCCGCTTCCACCATCGCTGCCTGAAGGAGCCAACGAAGAAGTAAATGATGGGGTTGGCACAGCTGTTGATAGAGGACAGGAGAACTACCATCATGTAAAGACGAAAGAAGGTACTAGATATATTTGGTAACCAGGCTGTAAGGAACAGGCAGATGCTGAAGGGCAGGCAGCAGAGGAGGAAGACCAGCACTGTGATCCCAATGGTTATGTAGAGCCTGGTGGGCCTCAAGCGATGGGAGCCACACAGCAATCTGGTCATCAGGGCCAGGGTGGACCCAGAGAGAAGCACAAACAACAAAATCAGCCATGCCACAGTGATGAAATCCAACACTGAACACCAAAAATAATGCATATTCCTCCCCAGGGGGTCACAGTAGTTCCCTTCCAGCATGCTCAGCAGCAGGGACAGGGCCCAGAGCAGGGCACACATGACGGTGGACATGTGTCTGGGGCGGCGGCAGCGGTACCAAATGGGCCACAGGACAGACAGGCAGCGCTCTGTGCTGATGGCGCTGAGAAAGCTCAGGCCTGAGATGTAAGCAGAGATGAACACGAGAAAGAGATATCTGTGCGTTACTCTAAAAATCTTGAAGTTGAAAAGTAAAAGTATGCTATGTATAAATCTGTAGCAGAGGAAGAGGAAGTCGGCCCCCGCCAGGTTGAGGATGTAGACAGAGAAGGCGTTCCTGCGCATGCGGAAGCCCAGCAGCCAGAACACCACCACGTTGCCTGCCAGCCCAACCGGGGCCACGATGCCTGTCAGTAAGTGCAGGATTAACTTTGTATAACGTTGATAAATGGCCTGATCACTTCCATTGGTTGTTGTGAGGTTGGTCTCCCAGGCTGTGACAGTCATATCCGTGCTCAGAAGTGCTTCAGTTGTGGGCCTGGAAACAAAACAAGACTTGAGCACCTGCTCTATGACCACTGACCCTCATGGCCACCCTGTCTGTGTCGAATGGAGGCTTCCAGAGATTAAGATTCTTTCTGAACCACACGGTCTTGCAGTCCTGGATCCTAAATTTAAACCCAGTTCTCTCTGAATCTTAGAGCCTGGGCTGTTTCTACTGCAACATGGACTCTCTGCGCTCACTATAGAGCCCATGACATGTGCCCTGGAGGCAGGAGGAGAAGAGTCTGCCCAGGTCCTGTGGATGACAGCAGGGTCCTGAGTTCCCCAGTGCTTGTGCTCTGGGAGAGTGGCTTTGTTTGACAGCAGGCTGTCAGAAGCCCCAGTGACTGAGAGTGGTCTACCCAGGAGGGAGAAAGGAGGTCATGACTTAGGCTCATGATGGGAATGAGACCCCTTGTTAGGACAGAGTGAGGACCCCCAAAGCTCTTGCATTAGAAATGTCCCAGTGTGTCATGTCTATGAGGATAGACAGTGATTACTCTTCCCATAGTTGTATCCCCAGGTCCTAAGTCTATGTGTGAAAACCATGGGGCTGTCAATAAAATTTTAACCCACAAATGAATTAATGAATGAAAGTACCAATGAGGAGCCCAAGGAAAGAAGGAAATTTGGATTTAAGATAATATAAAACTTTGTTAAATGAAGAATTTTAAATGTAAAACAGAAGTCAGCACTTTTAACTCCACCACCAAAAAACACATATGTTATGAAAAGAAAATTCCATTTCTAAGTTTTCATTCTGTGCAAAGCTCTTGGGCGTTTGAAAGATTTTTTTTATGCCTCCAGACACCTCCTATCCAGGTGGGAGAGGATTCAGGATTGAATTAAATTTCTCTGCATGTTAGAGGAGAAAGAGCCCATTTTGAAAGGAGAGAAAGATGTGGCAAAGGGTTTAAATAGAGGTTATTGGAATAGAAATATGGATGTGGAATTGTTAAGTGATTTTCCGATACTATGTGTAATATAAAAGTCATTTATCATAACTCCATGTGATTTGGAGTAGAAATTTCTTTGCAGATCAAAGTATTTGTGTAAGTGAATTCTGGTGGTGGTGGTGGAGTTAAGAAGTGCTTAGTTCTATTTTACAAAGAGCGTTGGATGAAAGGAGAGAAGCCTTTGCAGAATTTAGGTGAGAAACATAAATCTACTCACACATAGGTGAAGAGTAGCAGCTGATGAGTGCTTACATGGTATTACCTCTTTTAATCCTCAAATAGCCCTATGAGGCCAGCACTATGCCTATACCCATCTGGCATATGGGAAAAGACAAGCACAGGGAGGTTGAATGACATGCTCCAGTTCTCACGTGCACAAGTGGAAGAGCCTGGATCTGAACCCACAGGTCTGTGTCAGAGTGTTCACCCTTCTCCTGCCCTGCAGCCCCACTGCCAGGTGGTGTGTCCCATACACATGCGGGGTGGGGCAGGAAGCAAGTAACTCTTAGAGATAAATCTAAAATGGGAACTCACTAGTGTGTTTTATTAAACTAGACTAGACAAATTTTGTAAATAACAAGGAAGTGAAGCTTATCCAGCGTGGAAGAATAAGTGGGTGGAATACACCTGAGAACAGACCGGAGATTGCAGGAGCTCCTTCTTCCCTCTGGACAGACCTAATCAGTCAATTCTTGCCAGGTTCAGCCAGGGCAGGCTCACCCAGTAGAATCGAACCCGCTACCTCTCAGTCGGTGGGCGCTGCTCTAACCACTGAGTCAAACCTGCTAGGGCTTGTATCCCTTTTTTAAAAAATATATATTTTATTGATTTTTTACAGAGAGGAAGGGAGAGGGATAGAGTTAGAAACATCGATGAGAGAGAAAAATCGATCAGCTGCCTCCTGAACACCTCCTACTGGAGATGTGCCCGCAACCAAGGTACATGTCTTTGACCGGAATCGAACCTGGAACCTTTGAGTCCGCAGGTCAACGCTCTATCCACTGAACCAAACCGGTCAGGGCAGTTATCTTTTAATTAGTCTTAAA